CGCGAACTCCACATATACAGCTTCAGACATCGTCAAGGTCGTGATCAAACCCACAACCTCCTGTACACCAGGCGAGGTAGTTAACATCTCCTAGCCACCGTGATGATGATGATGAGAGAGACGCAGACTCCAAATATACAGCTTCAGACATCGTCATGGTCGTGATCGAACCCACGACCTCCTGCAGACCAGGCGAGGTAGTCAACATCTCCTAGCCACCGTGATGATGATGAGAGAGTCACAGACTCCAAATATACAGCAGCAGGCATCGTCAGGGTCGTGATCGAACCCACGACCTCCTGCACACCAGGCGAGGTAGTTAACATCTCCTAGTCAACGTGATGATGGTGATGATGAGTGAGAGAGAGAGATGCGAACTCCAAATATACAGCTTCAGACACTGTCAAGGTCGTGATCGAACCCACGACCTCCTGCACACCAGGCGAGGTAGTCAACATCTCCTAGCCACCTTGATGATGATGATGAGAGAGACACAGACTCCAAGTATACAGCAGCAGGCATCGTCAGGGTCGTGATCGAACCAGGACCTCTTGTAGACCAGGCGAGGTAGTTAACATCTCCTAGTCAACGTGATGATGATGATGATGATGAGTGAGAGACACAGACTCCAAGTATACAGCAGCAGGCATCGTCAGGGTCGTGATCGAACCAGGACCTCCTGTAGACCAGGCGAGGTAGTTAACATCTCCTAGTCAACGTGATGATAGTGATGATGAGTGAGAGAGAGACGCGAACTCCAAATATACAGCTTCAGACATTGTCAGGGACGGGATCGAACCCACAACCTCCTGCACACCAGGCGAGATAGTTAACATCTCCTAGCCACCGTGATGATGATGATGAGTGAGAGAGAGACGCGAACTCCACATATACAGCTTCAGACATCGTCAGGGTCGGGATCGAACCCACATCACTCCTGTAGACCAGGCGAGTTAGTTGACATCTCCTAGCCACCGTGATGATGATGATGAGTGAGAGAGAGAGAGATGCGAACTCCAAATATACAGCTTCAGACACTGTCAGGGTCGGGATCGAACCCACGACCTCCTGCACACCAGGCGAGGTAGTTAACATCTCCTAGCCACCGTGGGCGTCAGGGTCGGGATCGAACCCACGACCTCCTGTAGACCAGGCGAGGTAGTTGACACCTCCTAGTCAACGTGATGATGATGATGATGAGTGAGAGAGAGACGCGAACTCCACATATACAGCTTCAGACATCGTCAAGGTCGTGATCAAACCCACGACCTCCTGTATACCAGGCGAGGTAGTCAACATCTCCTAGCCACCGTGATGCTGATGATGATGAGAGAGACACAGACTCCAAGTATACAGCAGCAGGCATCGTCAGGGTCGGGATCGAACCCACGACCTCCTGCACACCAGGCGAGGTAGTTAACATCTCCTAGTCAACGTGATGGTGATGATGAGTGAGAGAGAGACGCGAACTCCACATATACAGCTTCAGACATCGTCAGGGTCGGGATCGAACCCACAACCTCCTGTATACCAGGCGAGGTAGTTGACATCTCCTAGTCAACGTGATGATGATGATGATGAGTGAGAGAGAGAGAGATGCGAACTCCACATATACAGCTTCAGACATCGTCAAGGTCGTGATCGAACCCAGGACCTCCTGCACACCAGGCGAGGTAGTTAACATCTCCTAGTCAACGTGATGATGATGATGAGTGAGAGACACAGACTCCAAATATACAGCTTCAGACATCGTCAGGGTCGGGATCGAACCCACGACCTCCTGCACACCAGGCGAGGTAGTTAACATCTCCTAGCTACCGTGGGCGTCAGGGTTGGGATCGAACCCACGACCTCCTGTATACCAGGCGAGGTAGTCAACATCTCCTAGTCCACGTGATGATGATGATGATGAGTGAGAGACACAGACTCCAAATATACAGCTTCAGACACTGTCAGGGTCGGGATCGAACCCACGACCTCCTGCACACCAGGCGAGGTAGTTAACATCTCCTAGTCAACGTGATGATGGTGATGATGAGTGAGAGAGAGACGCGAACTCCACATATACAGCTTCAGACATCGTCAGGGTCGGGATCGAACCCACGACCTCCTGCACACCATGCGAGGTAGTTAACATCTCCTAGTCAACGTGATGATGATGATGATGAGTGAGAGAGAGACGCGAACTCCAAATATACAGCTTCAGACATTGTCAGGGTCGGGATCAAACCCACAACCTCCTGTAGACCAGGCGAGGTAGTTAACATCTCCTAGCCACCGTGATGATGATGAGTGAGAGAGAGACGCGAACTCCACATATACAGCTTCAGACATCGTCAAGGTCGTGATCAAACCCACAACCTCCTGTACACCAGGCGAGGTAGTTAACATCTCCTAGCCACCGTGATGATGATGATGAGAGAGACGCAGACTCCAAATATACAGCTTCAGACATCGTCATGGTCGTGATCGAACCCACGACCTCCTGCAGACCAGGCGAGGTAGTCAACATCTCCTAGCCACCGTGATGATGATGAGAGAGTCACAGACTCCAAATATACAGCAGCAGGCATCGTCAGGGTCGTGATCGAACCCACGACCTCCTGCACACCAGGCGAGGTAGTTAACATCTCCTAGTCAACGTGATGATGGTGATGATGAGTGAGAGAGAGAGATGCGAACTCCAAATATACAGCTTCAGACACTGTCAAGGTCGTGATCGAACCCACGACCTCCTGCACACCAGGCGAGGTAGTCAACATCTCCTAGCCACCTTGATGATGATGATGAGAGAGACACAGACTCCAAGTATACAGCAGCAGGCATCGTCAGGGTCGTGATCGAACCAGGACCTCTTGTAGACCAGGCGAGGTAGTTAACATCTCCTAGTCAACGTGATGATGATGATGATGATGAGTGAGAGACACAGACTCCAAGTATACAGCAGCAGGCATCGTCAGGGTCGTGATCGAACCAGGACCTCCTGTAGACCAGGCGAGGTAGTTAACATCTCCTAGTCAACGTGATGATAGTGATGATGAGTGAGAGAGAGACGCGAACTCCAAATATACAGCTTCAGACATTGTCAGGGACGGGATCGAACCCACAACCTCCTGCACACCAGGCGAGATAGTTAACATCTCCTAGCCACCGTGATGATGATGATGAGTGAGAGAGAGACGCGAACTCCACATATACAGCTTCAGACATCGTCAGGGTCGGGATCGAACCCACATCACTCCTGTAGACCAGGCGAGTTAGTTGACATCTCCTAGCCACCGTGATGATGATGATGAGTGAGAGAGAGAGAGATGCGAACTCCAAATATACAGCTTCAGACACTGTCAGGGTCGGGATCGAACCCACGACCTCCTGCACACCAGGCGAGGTAGTTAACATCTCCTAGCCACCGTGGGCGTCAGGGTCGGGATCGAACCCACGACCTCCTGTAGACCAGGCGAGGTAGTTGACACCTCCTAGTCAACGTGATGATGATGATGATGAGTGAGAGAGAGACGCGAACTCCACATATACAGCTTCAGACATCGTCAAGGTCGTGATCAAACCCACGACCTCCTGTATACCAGGCGAGGTAGTCAACATCTCCTAGCCACCGTGATGCTGATGATGATGAGAGAGACACAGACTCCAAGTATACAGCAGCAGGCATCGTCAGGGTCGGGATCGAACCCACGACCTCCTGCACACCAGGCGAGGTAGTTAACATCTCCTAGTCAACGTGATGGTGATGATGAGTGAGAGAGAGACGCGAACTCCACATATACAGCTTCAGACATCGTCAGGGTCGGGATCGAACCCACAACCTCCTGTATACCAGGCGAGGTAGTTGACATCTCCTAGTCAACGTGATGATGATGATGATGAGTGAGAGAGAGAGAGATGCGAACTCCACATATACAGCTTCAGACATCGTCAAGGTCGTGATCGAACCCAGGACCTCCTGCACACCAGGCGAGGTAGTTAACATCTCCTAGTCAACGTGATGATGATGATGAGTGAGAGACACAGACTCCAAATATACAGCTTCAGACATCGTCAGGGTCGGGATCGAACCCACGACCTCCTGCACACCAGGCGAGGTAGTTAACATCTCCTAGCTACCGTGGGCGTCAGGGTTGGGATCGAACCCACGACCTCCTGTATACCAGGCGAGGTAGTCAACATCTCCTAGTCCACGTGATGATGATGATGATGAGTGAGAGACACAGACTCCAAATATACAGCTTCAGACACTGTCAGGGTCGGGATCGAACCCACGACCTCCTGTAGACCAGGCGAGGTAGTCAACATCTCCTAGTCAACGTGATGGTGATGATGATTATGAGAGAGAGACACAAACTCCACATATACAGCAGCAGGCATCGTCAGGGTCGTGATCGAACCCCGGACCTCCTGTAGACCAGGCGAGGTAGTCAACCTCTCATAGCCACCGTGATGATGATGATGAGTGAGAGACACAGACTCCAAATATACAGCAGCAGCAGGCATCGTCAGGGTCGTGATCGAACCCACGACCTCCTGCACACCAGGCGAGGTAGTTAACATCTCCTAGTCAACGTGATGATGGTGATGATGAGTGAGAGAGAGAGAGATGCGAACTCCAAATATACAGCTTCAGACACTGTCAAGGTCGTGATCGAACCCACGACCTCCTGCACACCAGGCGAGGTAGTCAACATCTCTTAGCCACCGTGGGCGTCAGGGTTGGGATCGAACCCACGACCTCCTGTAGACCGGGCGAGGTAGTCAACATCTCATAGCCACCGTGGGCGTCAGGGTCGGGATCGAACCCACGACCTCCTGCACACCAGGCGAGGTAGTCAACATCTCCTAGCCACTGTGATGATGATGAGAGAGACGCAGACTCCAAATATACAGCAGCAGCGGCAGGCGTCGTCATGGTCAGGATCGAACCCACGACCTCCTGTAGACCAGGCGAGGTAGTTAACATCTCGTAGCCACCGTGGCACGCCATGTACCTTGCCAGGGCTCTGTGGGGACATCGTCCTGGAATTTCGCGTCTTTGTACCCCACGAACACGGCCTTGGTCTCCCAGCGTGCCCTGCGTGGAGCCAATCACAACGAGTTGGGGGGGGGGTGGGGTAAAGTAGCAACACGGGGAACACGCGTGGGTCAACGTGGATCAATGTGGGTCAATGTGGGTGGTAGTGATGGTGCGGTGGGGGGGGGAGAGATTGCTCGCAGCACGCGGTCATCATCGTCATCATCATCATCGTCATTGTCGTCATCGTCGTCATCATCATCGTCATCACTGTCGTCATCATCGTCATCATCATCATCGTCATCACTGTCGTCATCATCGTCATCATCATCATCGTCATCATTGTCGTCATCGTCGTCATCATCATCATCGTCATCGTCATTTTTGTCGTCATCAACATCGTCGTCATCATCGTCTTAGTCGTCGTCATCATCGTCATCATCAGCATCGTCATCATCAGCATCGTCATCATCGTCATCATCAGCATCGTCATCATCGTCATCATCATCATCATCGTCATCATCAGCATCGTCATCATCGTCATCATCATCATCATCGTCATCATCAGCATCGTCATCATCGTCATCGTCATCATCGTCCTCATCGTCGTCGTCATCGTCATCATCACCGTCATCATCGTCGTAGTCGTCACCGTCACGAGACACGTCGTCATCACGATGACGTCACCGCCACATCGTCACGACGTCGTCACGATGACGTCACCGCCACATCGTCACGTCGTCATCACGATGACGTCACCGCCACGAGTCACGTCGTCGTCACGATGACGTCACGAGTCACGTCGTCTCACCCCTGCGTGCCGAAGTCCCAGGGCCTCTCTTCGGCCGCGAGGAAGTGTCGCCACGTCCTAGCGTGGCCCAGCGGGGCCACGGCCACCACCGCCACCACCACCGCCAACCACCACCTCCTCATGGTGGGGCTTCAACCACCACCAGCACCACCACCACCACCGTCACCACCGCCTACTGCGTAGAGCAGATTGGGGCCTAAAGGACAAATCGAGATGCAGTTCATGTTGATCATGGTGGTGATGGTGGTGGTGATGGTGGTGGTGATGGTGGTGGTGGTGATGGTGGTGGTGATGGTGGTGGTGATGGTGGTGGTGATGGTGGTGGTGGTGATGGTGGTGATGGTGGTGATGGTGATGATGGTGGTGGTGATGGTGGTGATGGTGGTGGTGATGGTAGTGGTGATGGTGGTGATGGTGATGATGGTGATGATGGTGGTGGTGATGGTGGTGGTGATGGTGGTGGTGATGGTGGTGATGGTGGTGGTGATGGTGGTGGTGATGGTGGTGATGGTGGTGGTGTTGGTGGTGATGGTGGTGATGGTGGTGGTGGTGATGGTGATGATGGTGGTGGTGGTGATGGTGGTGGTGGTGATGGTGGTGATGGTGGTGATGGTGGTGGTGGTGATGATGGTGATGGTGGTGATGGTGATGATGGTGTTGGTGGTGATGGTGGTGATGGTGGTGATGGTGGTGATGGTGATGATGGTGATGGTGGTGGTGATGTTGTTGACGATGATACACTATACACTACACTATACACTACACTATACACTACTATACATAATTATATACTATACACTATACTATACACTACTATACACTACTATACATGATTATACACTACACTATACACTACTATACACTACACAATACACTACTATACACTACACTATACACTACACTATACACTACTATACACTACACTATACACTACACTATACACTACACTATACACTACTATACACTACACTATACACTATACTATACACTACACTATACATTACACTATACACTACACTATACACTACACTATACACTACTATACACTACACTATACACTACTATACACTACTATACACTACACTAAACACTACACTATACACTACACTATACACTGCTATACACTACACTATAAACTACACTATACACTACTATACACTACACTATACATTACTATACACTACACTACACACTATACTATACACTATACACTACACTATACACTACTATACACTACACTATACACTACACTATACACTACTACACACTACTATACACTACACACTACACTATACACTACACTATACACTACACTATACACGACTATATACTATACACTACACTATACACTACACTATACACTACTATACACTACACTATACACTACACTATACACTACTATACACTACACTATACACTACACTATACACTACTATACAGTACACTATACACTACACTATACACTACTATACACTACACTATACACTACACTATACACTACTATACACTACACTACACACTACACTATACACTACACTATACACTATACTATACACGACTATATACTATACACTACACTATACACTACACTATACACTACTATACACTACACTATACACTACACTATACACTACTATACACTACACTATACACTACACTATACACTACTATACAGTACACTATACACTACACTATACACTACTATATACTACACTATACACTACACTATACACTACTATACACTACACTATACACTACACACTATACACTACACTATACACTACACACTATACACTACACTATACACTACACTATTACACACTATACACTACACACTATACACTACACTAGACACTACACTATACACTACACTATACACTACACTATACACTACACTATACACTACACTATACACTACTATACACTACACTATACACTATACAATACACTATACCCTACACTATACACTACACTACACTATACACTACACTATACACTACACTATACACTACACTATACACTACACTATACACTACTATACACTACACTATACACTACTATACACTACACTATACACTACACTATACCCTACACTATACACTACACTATACACTACACTATACACTACACTATACACTACACTATACACTACACTATACACCACACTATACACTACACTATACACTACACTATACACCACACTATACACAACACTATACACTACTACACTATACACTACATTATACACTACATTATACACTACATTATACACTACACTATACACTACACTATACACTACTACAATATACACTACACTATACACTACACTATACACTACACTATACACTACACTATACACTACACACTATACACTACACACTATACACTACACTATACAACACACTATACACTACACATTATACACTACACTATTCACTACACTATACACTACACTATACACTACACTATACTATACACTACACTATACACTACTATACACTACACTATACACTACACTATACACTACTATACACTACACTATACACTACACTATACACTACTATACACTACACTATACACTACTATACACTATACACTACACTATACACTACTATACACTATACACTACACTACACTATACACTACACTATACACTACACTATACACTACACTATACACTACACTATACACTACAC